AACTGAAACACATATATATCTTCCATTGGAGTCACCGTGCGCTATCAGGGTAAGAGTTATGATAGAAATAATTACAAAGATATTGCCAATCTATCACTGGGATGGCTCTGCACTTTTCTGCTGCTTATTCTCTCCTTTCTATTCTTTTTAAAGGAATACTACATGGTTCCATTTTCTGTAAAGAAGATAGTGAGAATTAGAAATTCAAATAGCAGAATGCACAGAGAACAGTATCTATAAATGAATTCAGGGAATATTAAAATTTAGAAAAAAAGATAAGCATTGTGAGAGTCCATGTAAAATATGGAAATGATCTTTGCAGATGAAATAGTTAAGTTAATGAGCTATTCCTTCAACCAAGAGGAATAAGATGCTATTACAGAGCGGGACTTAAATCAGTAATGAATAAAGAGCTATAAGACAGGGCATGGTTAATTTAATCAGAAAATGGACTGTTTTTCGGGGAATTAAAGCATGTTTTAGGGTGTTTTTTTTTTTCATTGAAAATGGCCCTACAGATTATAATGCAGACACAGAGATGACCATTTCCTTCGAAGAGAAAGACATGGTTTGGGAGGATACAGTATAGTTGGGAGGAGAAGAAACATAACTCACGGGAGCAAGTCTGTTCCAGATTCCTTCCAAAACAAGGGAAGTAGCAAACATTCCAAAGCACCTGTATCAGCTGACACTTCATGTTTCCCTAGAAAACAGGGTGGCATCTGCATACTAAGAAGAATAAATGTAGCTCCATATAGAAAAAGGCCTTAAACACCAAAATGAAGGTCTTGTTTCATTTTCAGAGAGTAATAGCTTTATAGAACATCCTAGAAATTTTTTCCTCATGACCCATTTTATTTTACAGTCCTCAGTTCCTGGCTGCAAATGATACATCTCCCTCAGCAATTTCTAAATTTTTAAAGTTAAGATTGCTTTGCATTAAAGAGGCTTTGGCAAGAGCTGTAATGAGAATTTTAAATCTGCACAAAATCTCTTGAAGTTCTAAATGAGGCCATCAAAGGGAACATTCACCAGATGGAACCAGTGATTGATGTAAAGCCTAGAGTCTTACTTTTAATCTCTTGTTTCCCAGCAAAGAGAAATTTAGTAGATTCTTCTCTCTTCTTAAAGGCTTAAACTAAAATAGAAAAGGTGAAGATCGAGGCCCTGCACTCATGTAGTTCTACAGAGTGGGAAGGAGCATGTCTTCAGCCAGGTCTCAATGAGCTGCAACACTGAGGAGAAGTGCATGGCCCTCAGCTGGTGCTTGTCTTGGTTTGTATTCCATTACTATTACAAAATACTTGAATCAAGATAATTCTTAGAAAATAGATTTCCTTGGCTGCTGCTTAGGAGGCGAGCCACACATAGCTCGTGCATTGTGTGAGGAAACACAGCAAGCAGTGTGTGAGCTCAAATCTCTTCCTCTTCTGGTAAGCCATTAATACCACCATGGGGGCCCCACCCTCTCAGCTTCATCCAATCCTAATTTTCTGCCGTGGGCTCCACCTCCAAATTTGAAAACATTTCCAGTGCACAAATTGTGTGGGCAATACATTCAAATTCTTGTTCTGTAACTACTTCTACCAGGATTCTTGTTCTGTGACTACTTCTGGTCCCCCTGCTCACCACTGGAGAGAGGGATTCCCTGTCCCTCGTGATGGCTGTGTCTGCGCCTAATTCACCAAGCTGTTATTCACCAAGATCTGTGGTTTATCTGTTTTTTGAGTCTGCTGGACTGTGCTCAGGTCCTCCCCACTAGCCAGCCCTTCCTGCTCACATGCAGCCTTTGCACACCAGCTGAGGAAGTGGTCCTGGGACACAGCTCAAAGTGTGATTTGTCCTATGGATGTGGGCTTTGTGTAAATGACAAGTTTCACTGTGTGCAGCCACACAATATTGGGTTTGTGAATTACTATAGTGAGCCTAAATTTTTATAACAACCCATTAAAGATTACTTTTCTCATTGCTGAGACAAAATATCCAACACCCAAAATGAAAGAAAGAAAAGTTTGTTTAGCTCACAGTTTGTGGAGGTTTCAGTCCATAATCAGCTGTCTCCACAGCAGGGTGGCATAGCACAGGGGCAATCTTTCATGTGGCAGGAAACAGAAAAGACTTTTTCTGTCCCTTATATTTTATGTAGGCCATACCCACTTGGGGGTAGCAGTCACACCCATAAATCCAGTATTGAGCCATCAATCAGTCATAAACTCTAGAATTCTGCCCCCATGACTGCATGAGGGGACATCCAGATACAAACCATAACAAAGATCTTGCATATACAGCACCAATTCTAGAAGAAATTGAGGAATACAAACGGCAGGCACTTAAGATAATTTCACAAGGAAGATATCTGTCATTGATGGGCTTAAAGTTTTTAAATATTTCTAGTGACAGCACCAACCACACCATCCTTACTGTTTGCAGTCATTAACTTTATGTGTCAATTGAGCTATGGTGCCAAGCTACAAGCTGAACACCTCTCGGTGTTGACATGAAGGCAGTTTTTGGATGAAATATTCAAATCAGCAGACTTTGATTAAAGCAGACTATGGTCCATAATGTGAGAGTGATCTAATCAGTTGAAGAGCTTAGCAAGCTCCTGAAATACTGTAAATAATTCGAGGGGCTTCTGTCAGAGGACTGCCTTCAGCATCCACTCTCCCTGGCTTCAGCCTGCAAGCACCATCCCACAGATTTTAGCCCTTCTGACCACCACAGTAGTCTGTATGTGTGCTTCCTACTGGTTTTGAGCCTTTGGAGAATATTTGTTAATACCATGTATATTTAAAAATACACAAGCCAAGCACAGCGGTACTCACCTGTAATCTCAGCACTCAGAGGATGAGACAAGTGGATCACTCCCAATTTGAGGCCAACCTGGGCTACTAAGTAAGTTCAGGGCCAGCCTGAACTACATACACAATATAGCTCTGTCTCAAAACACCAAATAAATAATTAAAGAAAATTTAAAAATAAACAGGCAATAACAGAGATTCAGTATTAAAATGGTAAATATTGCCAATTAGTCAATGTTATATAAAATAGGTTTATTTTGGATTTAATACATGGTCAAGGAAATATTTTTAGATTTCCCCCATGAATCCCTACACTGTTACTGTGTCCTATTGATTATGAACACTGAGTGAAATATTTAAAAGAAGGTGCAAACGGCTAAAGATATGCACATAAGAGGAGAGCAACTCACATCTTTGAGGATTATTTATTGGGCATCTTCCTCTGTCAGAGCAACACTGGGCCGAGGAGTCTAATCCACAGGAATGTGGCTCTCCCAGACGCCGGCCCGTGACACACACGGTTCCATGGTGCTTTGCCACAGGGGTGCTGGGCTTCTCAGGAGCCAGAGTGCACGCAGCACCTGCTTACGATGTCCACTAACGACTCCTGTGTGATGGAGGAGTGAGAACAGGAAAGCTGGTGGTTCAGAGTTGGAGCAGCTGTCAGAGGCGGCTCTCCAGGACAGAACCCTGCCTGAGGCCTCTTCAGGGTCGGCTGAGCTGCGGGGGCACAGTTTGGTCAAAGGATCACCTGCTGCTCCTGCCTGGCACGGGCCCTCAGCAAGGGACTTCAAGCTGGGCAGCAGCCACAGAGCTGGGTCCCTGTCCTCTGCCGCCTGTGCATCCTGCTTGCAGGTCAGGTGCTGGGACCTACCTTCTAAAAGCCCAGCACCAACCCCCGGGAGCCAGCTAAGGAGTGTTTGGGAGAAGGACAGACAGGAATGCATACCTTACTCAGGGAGAAATTCTTACTGTGGAGGTGGAAACATACTCTGAAAATACACAATTGAGAACGGAGAATTTTAAACAAGTATGAAGTAATACCTGCAATGTATAAACTTCTAAGGAATATTTATTGTGTGGGTGTAAAAGTTGCATGACAATTTGCAGCCTCAAAGGTACTTTTAATATTTAATATATTTTTAGAGATCTGAAACTCAGAAGTTTATATTTTTAAAAAAACAATCTAAAATACTTTTTGACTTCCAGAAGCTTATAGAAACAAAGCAGAAGTAAATACTTAATTTAGATTTTGCATCACTGAAAATTATATGTAGTGTTCTGTTTTTTGATATCTAATAATCATTCGGCTTCTTTCATTTTAATAAATGGTATCTGAGAAAACTCAGTTAACTGGATCAAAATCGAGTTTTTTACTCAAACATGAAGATGTAAAGAGAAGAGATAAAGGCTTGTTTATCTGTGGGAACTTTGTTGTCAGGTTTGGCTTTGCTTTTTTAAACAAGGTCTTGCTATGTAGTCCAGGCTGACCTTCAACTCACTATGAAGCCTAGGTTGGCCTGGCACTTGTGGCAATCCTCCTGCCTCAGCCTCTTTAGTGCTGGGATTACAGGTGTGCACCACCATGTCTGGGCCCATGATAACATCTCATGTAAGTCTGTTAAAGAGTACTACTACAGTGTGTAGTGTATATGAGGCACTCAACTGTGTGACTATTTGATATTCAAAAATTAATACTCAAATTTTCTGCTATTGATGGAACATTGAAAACGGTAACTTAAGAATAAAGTTATCACAGGCTTAGTAAAAAATGGAATGCATTTAGATACAAAGTGGGTCAAATTTAGTACAAAAATAACGGGTCATAATTTAAAAATTGGTTCTTGCTTTCATCAAACATTTTGCAATTTAGCTTGGAATCGATCATGTATGAAATTTGCATAGCTTTATAATTTAGTAAACAATTTCATATTATGTTATTTGCTCTTCTGTCCTGGGATGTGGATAATAATATTTTTATCCTTTAAATGTAAGTACACACGCCCAAGGATGTAGCTCAGCAGCACGAGCATCTGCCTGGCAAGCGCAAGGTCCTGAGTTCGATTCCCAGTACGACCCCCCCCCCAAAAAAAAAGTACATAAAGAATGTTCGTTTTACGGGGAAAGCATGATTTTTGCATATATAGCGGTCTGGGTAAAAATCAGGATATAAAGTACTTCCAGCCACTCTGCACTCACCTTCACCAGGCGTGATCAGCCCTGCCTGACGCACAAGGACAGGACTCAGCACAGAGCGACTGCTCCTGGCTGCTTCCGGTGCGCAGTCTCCCGAGAGTCGTGGGAGCTGGGAGGGGCCCGCGGTCATTCTCCGTGTTGTCCCTTGAACGTACTTGTCTCTTCAATGGTGTGCATCTGCGTCTGTAAGTTGTGTGCTGTTCCGGACGAAGCCGCCCTGACCATGGTGTCCACAGATCTGGCTGCTGCGTCTACACCGGTTTGCCTTCTGTCTGCAGGGTGCAGTGCGCCCCAGAGGAGAGGCTGGGGCCTCCAGAGCTGAGGCCGGCCAGCGAGGACTGCTGAGGCCGGGCTCTCAGGGCGCTTCCTGTCTCGTCCTTCTGTACCCGTGCTGGAGACCTCAAGGCATCCACTGCAGAGAAAACTCAGTTCCCGTCGGCTCCGTGAAGTGCGCATCGCCGCCTGCACAGAGAAGCGGGACGCACGCAGCTCGCAGTGGCCGGATCCCGGGAACAGCCCGGTTCACCCTCGGTGAGCAGCGGGTGAAGAAAGTGCCGGGTTTGCACTCAGAGCAGCGACTCTGTAAATAAAGGCGAAGTAAAAGACAGACAGGAGCGGGCAGGAAGCTCAGCAGAGGGGCTGGAGGGGACGAGAGGAGGACCCCGCAGAGGGGCCCGGGAAGCAGAGGCCTGGACCCCAGCCTGGCTTCTCCTTCCAGATCCTGCTTCGCCCTCTCCCTCATGCGCTGCCCTGGCTCCTCCCCACTTCCCTTCCGTCTTTTCCTACCCTTGTAACTTGTTTTATGAAAAATATCAACTATGCAGTGAAAAGAAGAACCTAAGAAATATCCATGCACTTAAACTGTAGACTTAGAAGTTAGCACTTCACCAGACCTGTCTCTGCCCACCTTGGGATGGTGCGTAACCCGCCTGCCCATCTGGGTCATCCTCAGCTCCCCTGACCCTTCTGCCCCTCTACCTGGTTCTGTGGGTCACTTACACCTCTACTGGAGACACCGTGTGTTTATCTTCCTGTGTCTGAGTAAGGAAGGTCACTGAGTGTTATGGTCTCCAGGCTCATTCATTTGCCTACAAATGCTCAACCTAGTGTAATCTAATATCTGGTATGAATCACATTCTGACAATTTCATAAAGATTCTTTCATAGTGGTTTTGTTCACAGTAAGTGTGAGTCAAACACACATTCTTAGGGCTATTTTATTATCATTATCATAATTTCTACTATGTGGCAAAGTATTCTGTGAAGGCTATGTAGACTTCTCATAAACGCTTTTAAATATCCAAATATTATAAGGTGACAGCATAGCTAAAAATCCTGATGTCTAACATTCGTTGAAACTCAAGAATGTGTGCAGACACTTGGGCAGAGTGGGAGATACCACTGCACCCACACACTCAACACTTACCTTAGAATTCCAGAACAATCCCACAGGCACTCAGGTAAAGCTATAGGAAAATCTAAGCACTATCAGGTAGAATATCTGAGCTTGTTTAATTCTCTAGCAGAACGGCTATGCCTACGCTGAAAAGTCCCTGCGCATCGTTCTCATTCTCAGCGGGCATCCACTAACCTTTTATTGCTGCTGTCCACGGCAGGGCCAAGACCAGGTGTCAGGAGTCTGCACTATTTTGAAAAGAAAATCAAAGGACCAGTACACACCATTCTCAGTGCACAATTGCATGAGATTTTTGTTTCTCCAATTAAAATATGAGTTCATTTAAGTATTTGTGTCATATCTAGAGATATGCTTTTGTGTTTTTTTCCTAAGTAAGTATAGGCCACGGCGCGTGTTGGCACAAATGACCTGATGCTCATGGGGCACCCAGGGTCGGCCAGACTCTCACCAGCCCAGGACAGTGACCACCCCGAGTGACCACCTGGTAAGCGACCTGGATCTGCACAGCTGCGCCTCTGCAAAGGCTGGTGGCCAGGTCCCTTCTGAGAAGTGGATGGATTGAGGTGCTCAATCCTTGGGAATGGGCTTCTCCAGATAGTCCAGGACAGGGATCTCTGTCTGTTTCCCGATTCTACACTGTCCTGGAGGCTGCATGCGTGGACAGGAAGGGCCTCACTAGGCTGAGCATGCTTGGGAAAGGTGGCCCCGTATAGCTGACTCATCACCACTCGAGAACCCAGAGGCCCAAGCCAGGGACTTTTCAGGCTCCCAGAGATGACTCCAGATGGCAGCTGTTCCACTGTAAGTCAGGCATCTGCCTACACGCTACATGTTGCCGAGACTATTTCCTGGGGGGTGAGGAGCAGGACGTGTCCTGGGGTGAAACGAAACTGCACGCACAGGCAGTGTTGTCACCCAGTTCCTCCTTGCCACAGGCAGCGAGGTGCAGCCTCTCTGCATGAGCAGTAAACATCCCAGCAGATGTTTTCCCACCAGTCCCCAGCCCCAGGCCAATGGAGGGTGTTTCCTGCTGGGCTGGAATTTCCAGGTTTTGCAAATTCAAGTTCTGAAAAATGGAGTTTACATTTTAATTTTATTTTTATTTGTTGATGTTTATTTATTTATTTTTTTAAAGTGTGTTTCTTTTACTTGTACAAATATGAGTCTGTCTGGAATCATCTGCTGTAACTGCAGGAATTTACATAACGGCAAAGAAAATCCTGTCAAAACAGAAGTTGAAGATAATTATGCAAACAAATATTAAAAATGAGTATTTTTAATAATATCAGCAGTAACATTTTCTACTGAGGAGAGTTGATTAAACAAAACGTCGTAAGCCCAATGATAAAAGTACTCGTTAAACAGGTTTAGGAAAATTACCCTAACTTTTTAGTGTTTTACTTATCCAAAGGCCAATTTCCCTTTCAGATATTAAAAGAAAATTAAAGACAATAATTTTTCAAATGAAAAAACACAGCAGCAAACTCCTTTGACGTGGACAAATATGCTGGCCTCATGATGGACTCTTTCCCTGCCCTTCCCACCCCTGCCAACCTGCTCCTTGCTGGTACCTCTTCCTGTCTGTCCTACTGATCACCCCTCTTTCCAGACCCCCCCAAGAATGACAGGAAATGAGGGAAAAGGTTTAGCTGGTAACAGCTCTGAGGATGGGACCGGGACTGTCAGCACACCGAGACTGAGGAATTTCCCCACAAGGGGAAGAAGGGCGCTACTAACATAAATCAACCCGAGTTCCGTCTCGAGTGGACAGAGAGAGCTGAGTCCAGCTGAAAGCTGCCCCGGGCACAGTCACCGTACTGGGAGACAGCTGAGGACTTTCTGAAAACTGGGAACCTTGACCTGTGGGTCAGGGTTTAACCCGGGCTGGCGGTGTCTGGAGCCAGCGGGCAAGCATAGTCAGTCCACTGGCCCAGGTCGGTGTACATGCTGCCTGAGGGCTCGATGCCCACTTGCCAGCAGCATTCTCAGTGAATGCCCCAAGGAGAGGCAGTGTCCAGCGAACACCCAGTGCCAGGCCTGTCCTTAGAAATCCCGCACCCCCCACTCCTTATGAAAGACTAGGAAGGCAGGTGAAGAATCCCCGCAGCAAGCTCTGTGGGGTCCAGTGATGTCCTTCCTGCCTCTGCTGCCCTGCCCCTGGAGGCCTGCCCCTGTGGCTCCTGAGAAAGTGCTGTGTCCAGCCCAGAGTAGCCCCACTCCAGGAGGTGCGCAGTGTGTCTCATTCCTCAAGGGCCGGGCTGAGAAGGGGTCCACAGCACACTCCCTGCCTCCCTGGTCAGACTCAGTGGCGCTTCCCTGTCCCCCTGAGACTGCTGAACCCCAAATGTTTTAATTCCAACTGCTCTATCCAGTGAACGTGCACCTGTGACCTACTGTTATTAGAAGGCTGCCCAGCTCACAGATACCAGCCCCTTTCTCACTCACCTTGACCTCCAAGCCCTCTGTGCTCCACTGGCCTCATTCATCTACCAGCTTCACTGGGTGCCCGGGTCAGGGTTTGTCAAGTGCGGCTCACCTTGAGACTCCCCAGTGCTCTGCAGGTCACTCAGTGAAAACAGGCACCGAGAAGGCTAGAAAACATGCAGGAGTCTCTGTGATGCACAAGCTGGACTGAGTCGGCCCTGATTGTGTGGGTCCTGTGTTTCCTGACGTGGTCAGCCATCGCTGTTCCCTGTACCTTCTCTGTGTGTGTGCGTGTGTGTATGCACATGTGCATGTGTGTCCATGTACATGCATGTGTGCATGAGTATTCCTTCCCAAGCTCCACAGAATCTTCTGGCACATTCAGATGAACAATCTGGCTTATATTATTTTCCCATTTCTTCGTGCTCATGTGACAATCTGCTGACACACATGTACAGCCACCCAGGTTTTATTTAGCATAAAATAGTCCCACTCAGGCACTTTCTTGCATCCAAGGGCACCTTGTGGAAATCCTTCAATTCAGCAGATGCAACTCTAAGAAATTCACCCTTACCTTGTCCTCCTTTTGTGATCATCCATCTACGTTCATTTCACCATCATGAACAGTGCTGCGAAATCATCTAGTACCAGCAGCATCCTCATGGTGCTCTGATCTCTGGGGAAACTGACCCCTAGGAGTGGACTGGGAGTTGCCAGGTCCCTTGCTGATGCTTGGATTCTCTGTCTGCCATACACACACCTGTGCTTTCACATACACACACTCGCCTAGAAGCTTGCCTTCTTTTAAAGTAGTGAATTTATATTTCAATCTAAGTTTCAGTGTTTCATAGTTTAAAGGGTTGTTCCTGATGATGTTGTCTTCCATTAAATACAAGTCAGATTTTATGGGCACAGTGAAGCTTTTTTAATTTTCTGACTTTACTGTACTAACTGTTCCACCATCAAGTAAAATACGGCAAAACAGCCTACACAGAGGACCTTTCCTGTTACCCTCCTGAGCAACTAACACACTTGTAACTTGACTAACGGCCAAAATCACTGGAGTAGTTTCAACTTGTCTCACAGAATTAGCTCTCCTAAAGTTAAAAATGGTTTTATTTTGAAGTTTTATTTCAAATGAAACTTAAAAAAAAATGGGAATATGAGGAAGCTACCTCCTAACATTTCAGTCAGGAAGGATTCTCATGGGCAACGTGGTTCTCTGTGGTTCACATCCAAAAGCTTAGGAATAGTTAATGCCTGAACTAATACTGCGGTGTCACTTTTGAAGTGTGACATATTCATTAAGTGCTGATTATAAGCCATATTCAGAAAGACTTCACGTTTGTCTCATGAATGTATCTGTATAAAAGAGAACTACCATACTCTCACAAATATCTTGAAAGAATGTTTTCCTATTTAATCTGAACTGCCTGTATATATAGGGTTTTGTTTAAAACCCATTTGCTTTGCATAACTCAAGTGTCTTCTTATTTTTCTCTTGTTGCTAAGACAAAGTACCCAATATCTGGAGTTAAAGGGAAGAAAGGTTTATTTAGCTAACAGTTTGTAGATATTTCAGTCCATAATTGGCTGGCTCCAAGGCAGGGTGGCATGGCACAGGGGCAACTGTTTGCAGCAGCAGAACACAGCAAAAGCAACAAGCAAGAGAAAAGAGACAAGCCTTTTTCTTTCCCTTATACTCTAAGCAGGCTACCTGCCCTAGGGCGGGTGTAGCACTCATACCCTTAATCCCAGAATCGGATCATGAATCAGTCACAAACTCTAGGTTCAGCTGCCTCTGAAAATTCCATCCTCCATGTCTGCATGAGGCTTTGGGGACATCCAGACCCAAACCATGACATGAGGATTGAGCCAAGGACTCTGCTACGTGACACCACAGGTGTAGGTGAAGTTTCCACTGATGGTATATTGGAGTCCAGCCTGACATGACCACAGCCATCTTGGCTACAGCTGTCATCTGGTGACCATGGCTAACACTTCTAACCCTGTAGATAAACCCAGCTGGTAAGGTTCTTGGCTGAGCATTCTGTACCAAACACTGATGCCTGGAGTATTTCTTAACTAAGGCTTGCAACCTCACAGTGATATTAAACAGTTCAGGACCACTGCAGAGGACCACTCCAGCGTGCGGTACCAGCCTCTTCATCCGTCTTCAGGGTGTGGGGGTCCCCTGTTCCTGCCCTGAATTTGGCCTCCTCGGCTGTCTCCTAGCATGTCTTGCCCTCAGAGCTGGTTCCTATGCATTGTTTTTCCTGCCATACAGCACAACGGAAATGCCACCTCCACTAGCATTGCACCTTTCCTTGTCTCTCCCCAAGATTCCTTTCAACAAGGAGGAGAAAAACTCCATTGTGTTAGTGTCCGGGATGCCCATAGCCCTTGCTAATGAGAATATTCTGGAAATGCCAGCAGGATCTAACACTTGCTGCCTCTGGGAATTATGCTTCGGTTCAGTGGCACAGAGTGCTGGAGCCCACCGTGAGATGACAGCGATCCAAGAGCACACGCTTCAGTCACCCCTGTTACATCAGGAGATGTGTTCATGCACTGACACAAGAGGACTGGCTATCCGTGGTACCAAGATGAGAGAGAATTCGCATTTATTGACATCCTGTCCTGTGCAATATGATTACATCTCGAGGGACACTAAAGTTAGCCAGAGCTCTGGTCTGTGGAAACTAGGAATGTATTAGGAGACCTGAAAGGATCAAATCGATTGTCTTCCTTAGGAAAATTCACAGCCGATCAGGGGGAGGTAGGCAGATGACAAAGAGGAGGCACCGAGTATACTGGAAGCCAACTTCCTGTGGAAGGACTTCGTCCTGCGCCATGGCTGAAGCAGAAGAGCTGTCGCCCAGGCCCACACACAGTGGAAAAGTAGCACAGGGCCTTCCAAGGTCATCACGGCCTTCGTCTGTGCTCCACAGCTGCTTTGTAACAGTCAAGAGAATTCTGTTCAGTGCTTTATTTTAACTTTGTTCTCATTAAGAGCTCATAAGCTTAATTACTAAATATTCCTTAAGAAACACAGCTTGAAATAATTACTTCATTAGAGAAATTTAGCAGTGCTGATTCTCTTGAATAGATTCTTGAGAATGGCTGAAGATTTTTATTTGTCCTTTATTCTGAGCGCAAACCTCTTCACCGCCACATCTTTTAGAGAACTGCATTTCAAACACCATTTAAGGGGAGATTTTGAAAGTCCTGCAAAACGTTGTTTTGAAGAATGGTCCATGTTAGCATAAATACAGCTCTCAAAATTTCAGCAGTGTGCTTTGTTGGCAGAGACATTAAGGTATAAGATAAAAGAATAAAAAGTTGATTTTAAAGAAGTTGGTTTTGGGGGCTGGGGATTTAGCTCAGCAGCATAAGCACCTGCTTTGCAAGCACGTGGTTGTTGAGTTTGATCCCCAGTACTGATTAAAAAAAAAGAAGTTGGTTTTGAGCACAGCAATTCACTCATAAATATAATTATTTAACAGCAGTCATTGGAAAAATAAAACTATTAAACCAGAAATTCGATTAAATGGAATAATTTTAAATGAAGCAAGTTAGATCTCAAATTAGTTCCAGGATTTAAGAGACCTGGATAGGGCTGGAGGGTTAGCTCAGTGGCATAAGCACCTGCCTTGCAAGCAGGCGGTTGTGAGTTCGATCCCCGGTACCGATAAAAATGAAAAAGACAAAAAAAAAAAAAAAGAGAGAGCGAGCTCTGGATAATCCGGGTCAGGTTACTGTGCAGCTGATCAGCGGTGAGCACTCAGGACCCACAGGAGGCAGGCGGGGTGGTCGCACCCATGGCATCAGCCAGGCTTCTTCGCTCCCGGCCTGGCCTCCAGCTCCATGCTGCTGCAGCTGGTCCCCCACTGCCCGGGCTTGTGTGTGCCTTGCCAGTCTGCTTTACTTCTGTCCCTCATGGTCACCCTGCTCAAGGTAATGTCGCCTTCCTCTGCAGCCACCCTTGCCAATTCTCAGAATTTACAAACAGGAACTTGTATCTGCTTTTTTCTATTGCATAAACTTTTATCACCCAAAACTGAAGGAATAAACTCTCTGAAGGCATAAACTATCTTACATTTGATGTCTCAATGGAGTAGATGTCCCACGTATTAAATTTGTTTCACTATCATAGAATCTTACAAAACAGAAGGTAAATATACATAGTTTTCATATATCGCATATTTATGAATTTAAATGTTGATCACTGCTTATGTCATTTTTAAAAATCAACAAGAAATTTTTTTAAAGAAAAAAACAATGGCACAAAATTTCAAAATAAGACTGTAGGAGAGTAACAATGGTTAGTACATTGCATACTGTTACTTTTAAAGGTTACTCATGTGACAAGATATGGGCATGAAAAACTGATCAAACAACATAAGCCAAAACTTTCCTTCTTAATGAACTAATAGCAATTAGAAGTATAACTATCTTAACTATTTAGTGTGTGTTTATATATTTTTTCTCCTTTCTCTCATCCTAATTGTTCTTTCCTTTTGCACAATTTCTTCCCATTTCACAACATCTATTGTACATTTTGGATCTTATCTAACATTTCTGTTTCTTACACTACAGAGACAGTGCAACATTTATACATGTGAGTCTGATTTATTTCACTTATGATGATAGTCTCAAGTTGCACCCATTTCCTTATACATGTTTATCCTTCTTTATAGCTCCACTGTATAAAAATGCTACATTTCTTAGCCACTCCTCAGTTGGTGTGCATTTGTTTCCAAGATTTAGCTATTACAAATCGTGCTGCTATAAACATGCTATCAATGACTGTGATATGATGTTTTTTAACTCTTCTGGGGAAACACCCAAAAGGGGAATAGCTGGGTCAAATGTGAGCTCTACTTCTAGTGTTTTTCAGGAATCTCCACACCAATTTTCACAGCAATTGTACTTGTCTATATTCCCACCAGTGGAGAAGGGTTCCTTTTCCCCCACAGCCCCACCAGCATTTGCTATTAGTTGATTTCTTGATGACAGCCATTCTTTCTGGGATGAGATGGAATCTCAGTATTGTTTTCATTTGCATCTCTCAAATGACCAATGACATTGAACATTTTTTTTCATATATTTGTTTGCTGTTTGTATTTCTTCATCTGAGAAGTGAGTGTTCATTTCAGCTGCTCATTTTTGGATTGGGTCTTCAAATTAAGGGAGTCCAATTTTTTGAAATTCTTTATATGTTCTAGATAAATGCTCTTTGTCTGAGGGACAGATGGTTAAAAATTCTTCCCACTCTGTGGGTTGTCTTTTCATTCTGTTGGTGACTTCTTTTGCTGTGCAAAAACTTTTTAATAAGATGAGATCATAGTTGTTGATTCTTTCAAGTGTTTCCCATTGTTTGGACTTTGTTCATGAAGTTTCTGCCTACCCCATGTCTTCCAAGATTTTTACTGAGAATATCCTTCAGTAGATTTAGTGTTTGTTTTAATATTTAGATCTTTGACCCATGTTGACTTTAGTTTAATGCACAGTGATAAATATGGGTCAAGATTTAGTCTTCAGCATGTAGAGAGCCACTTTTTACAGCATCATTGATTAGAGAGGCCATCTTTGTTCTAGTGAATGTGTTTGGCCCTTTTGACAAAGATGGCTATGTGTTTGTAGCTGTGTCTGCACCTTCTAATCTGTTCCACTAGTCCTTGAGTCTTTGTTTGTTTGCCAGTAACAATGCTGATTTTATCACAATAGCTTTGTGGTATAATTCCAAGCAGGGATTGTGATGCCTCCTGCCTTGCCTTTGCTGCCCAGGTCTCTTGTGCTTCCAGATGAATTTTTAGGAATGTTTTATCTAGTTCTGTAAGGTATGCTAATAGTATTTTGATCTATATTGCATTAAATCTGTATAACAATTTTGGAAGTATGCCCATTTTCACTATGCTGGTTCTTCCCATCTATGAGCAAGGGATATCATTCCATTTTATATATCCTCTTTAATCTTTTTCAGAGTACTGTACTTTTAAACATATAGATTTTTTATTTCCTTTACTACATTAAGATTTCATTTTTATAGATGCTATTGTGAAGGGTGTGGCTTCTCTAATTTCTCTCTCAGTGAGTTTGTTATTTGTGTACAGGAATGCTATTAGTTTTTGACTATGGACTTTGTATCCAGTTATGCTACTGAATTTGATTAACTAAGAGTCTTTTGGTGGTTTTTGGAAACTTCTACATAAAGAATCATGTCATCTGTGAAAAATGATAGTTTAACTTCTTCTTTTCCTATCCTTATTCCTTTTACTTCTCTCTTGTCTAATTGCTCAAGCTAATGATTCCAGAACTATATTGAATAAGAGTGGTGATAATGGACATCCTTGTCTTGTTCCTGATTTTAGAGTGAAAGGTTTCAGTTTTCGTTCAATTAGTATGATGTTGGCTGTTGATTTGTCATGGATGGCTTTTTTTGGGGGGGTACCGGGGATTGATCTCATGACTTTGTGTTTTCCAGGCAGGCATTTATGCTAAATCCCTGGTTGTCATAGACGGCTTTTATCAGATTGATGTAGAGATACTCTCTTCTGATTTTCTCTAGGGTTTTTATCAGAATGAATAGATCTTATCAAAAGCTTTTTCTGGGTTTACTGAGATCAAGTGATTTTTGCTTTGGCTCTGTTGATACAACATATTACATTTATTGATTTGCATATGTTGAATCACCCATGCATTACTGGGATGAATCCCACTTGGTCATGGTGTCCAATCTTGATGACTTGCTGCATTTTGTTTGCCAGTATTTTATTGAATATTTTTACATCTATATTCATTAGGGAGATTGTCCTACAGTTCTCTTTTTGGTTGGGTCTTTTTCTGGTGTTGGTATCAGAGTAATACTTGCCTCTAGCAATGAGTTAGGGAATATTACTTCCCTTTCAATTTCATTAAACAGTTTGAGGAGTATTTGCCTTAAATCTCCAAATTTCTTGTAGAATTCAGTAGTGAATCCATTGGGACCTGGGATTTTCTTGTTGGTAGGTCTTTAATAACATTTTCAGTCTCATTAACTGATACTGGGTTGTTCAGAATTTTTATATCTTTTTAGTTCAGCGTTGGCAGGTCATTTCTATCTAGGAATCTGTCCATTTCTTCTCCATTTTCCATCCTATGAGAGTAAAGATTTTTGAAGTAGGTATTTATGATCTGAATTTTCACAGGGTCTGTAGTGGTTTCTTCCTTTTCATTCCTCATTGCATGAATTTGAGCCTTTTGTCTTTTGATAAGGTTGGCTAAGCGTTTATCCATTTTATTTATTCTTTCAACCAACCAACTCAATTTATTAATCTTTGTATTGTTTTCTTGGTCTTCCTTGCATCAATTTCTGCTCTGATCTTTATAGTTTCCTGCCTTGTAGTGGTTTATGGTTTCTCTTGTTCTTCTTTCTGTAGAACCTAGAGGTATAATATTAGGTTGTCTATTTGTGCTCATTGTTCTCCTGATGTAAGAATTCATCACTATAAATTTCCAACCAGGACTACTTTCATCGCATTCCATAAATTTAGCAGTATCTGTAGTCTTGTTTAGTAGATATTAATTTTTTCCCTTATTTCATCTGTGACCCACTAGTTGTTTAGTAGGGTGTTATTTAATTTCCATGTGTTTATGGAGTTTTGAGGCCATTAATTTTGAATTTCAGTGCACTATGATCAGATAATATGCATGGAATAATTTCAATTCCTTTGCATTTGCTTAAGCAGGTTTTGTGAGCCACTACATGGTATGTTTTAGAGAACATCTCGTGTGCAGCTGAAAAGAATGTGCCTTCTGATGTTGTTGGATAGAATACTCTGAAAACATCTACTAAGTCCCTTTGTTCACAGGTTTGGTTCAGTTCTGATATTTCTTTGATGATTTTTGTTCTAGCTAATCTAGCTCTTTGCAATAGTGGGGTACTGAGTTCTCCCGTTACAGTTGTGTTATAGCTTGATTTTTTATGCCTATTAATAATTGTCTTACATAGTTGATTGCTCTTGTATTTGGTGCACACATATTCATGACTGTTATCTCTATCTCTTGAATTTTTCCGACAAGTATATAGTGAACTTCTTTATCTCTTTTGATCATTTTTGGTGTGAAGCTCACATTGTCTGCAATAGCTACTCCTGCTTATTCTGGGTCCCTGTTACATGGATGATTGTTTTGCATCCTTTTACTCTAGTCCATGAATTTCCTTTTGAGTTAAATGTATTTTCCGTATATAGCATATTGCTGGATTTTGTTTCTTGAAGAATTCTGCCAGTCTGTCTTTAGATTGGTGAATTGAGGCCATTTACTTTGAAGGTTATAACTGGTATGTATTGGCTTACCTTTGTCACATTTTCTTGCTATTGGTTCTCTGATTTTCCCCATATTTAATTGCTTGCCTTGCATGGTGGTTTCCTTCTGTTGTTGCTCTTGGAATGTTGGTCATTTTTCTCTCTCTCTAGAATGTCCTTCAGTATTTTTTTGTACAGTTGGTTTGGTGGTCATAAAATCTTCAGTTGTTCTTTGTCATAGAAGTATCTTATTTCTCCATTAATTTTGAAAGGTAGTTTTTCAGGGTACATGAATCTAGTTTGGAAGTTATTTTCTTTCAGTACTTGAAATATTTCACTCCCAGGTGATGTTGAGGGTTTGTGTTGATGTCTGCTGTGATTCTGATGGGTTTTCCTTTATAGGTGATCTGTTTCCCTTTCTCTAACAGCTTTCAATATTCTGTTCTTATGCTAAGTTTCTGGAATCCTGATTTCTTTATGCCTGGGTATAGTTTTACACTGATCATGGCTATTTGTAATTCTATATGCTTCCTTTATTTGCACGTGTAATTGTTTACCCACACCTGGGAAGTTTTCTGCATCATTTCTGTGGGTTTTTTTAATGGCATTTGTGCTGTCTTCTGCTTTCTCATTGACCCAGGTTAATCATATGCTATTATTCTTTGTTTCATCTTGGAGCTGTTGGATGTTTTTCCTGGTCTCTTGCCATTTTTAAGATATCTTTCTTTTCATGATCACTAGCTGCAATTCTGTCTTCAGGATCTGAAATTCTCTCCTCTCCCCTGTTCAGTATGTTGAATATACTTTCAGTGGAAGTTTTAATCTCTTGGATTTCTGTTTGAATGTTTCATGAATTTCATTTTTTTTCCTATGTTGGACATTTTTTGTTTCCATTTGTGGTGGACTGACAACTGGCGGTCCACTTGTGACATCCAGCTGAGCTGAATCAGCAAGGTGCTCAGTGTGAGTGGCCCACCTGAGAACTGTGGATAACATAAAAAGGTGAACTGGAGAGGAAGTAGTAGTGTTGGTTCTCCTGTTGCCTCTGGCTCTCCTGCAGGAGCTTGCCGAGCTTCTTTCCTGATATTAACTTGGCTGTTGCCATTGTCAGAGGAGTGACGCTGTTGTCACTGAGGATGGCTGTGGTTCACTTTGGGGAAGCACTGGTCTTTGCTTTGAGCATCACTTCTGGCTCCAGTGGGCATGATGGGATGCTGTTCAGTCTCCAGGAGAAGCTTGTCACGCGGCTGTCCTGATGTGAACGCAGCTGTTCTTGTTGGAAGAGCTCAGGACCTTGTTGTTGCCCAGAATGGCTGGGGCTCTTTTCAGGTGAGCCCTGGTCTTTCAGTTTTGCTTCCTGACTCCCTCTGCCTGCCACCACAGATTCATGAAACAGACTTGCATGACATATTGTCATTGGCTCTAGTTCTTCAGCTAGACTCATGCAGGATACTGCTGTGGGATCCAGACCCTCAGCTGGAGTCTTTGGGGATCTTCAGTGTGTGAAAAGATTTCTTGCACTTTTTGACTCTTTGGGTGACTATTATAATTCTATAAATGATGTGTCCTGTATGAAATTGTTTTCCTATAAACCCTGACTTCAACATCATTTTTTAAAACTTATCTATTCTTTTACCTGTCTGATAGTGATTTTATCATTGCTTTTTGTACCAGAGATTATGTTCTGCATAGCCTTTCCACTTTTTTTTTCATTTCTATTGTTATCATTTTAGAAAGTTCCAGTGTTTGACTTCTAATTTCATCTATCTCACTGAATTTTGGGCTTGTCCTGGGTGGGCTGGGGTCTGGGGCTGCATTTTGCTTCTGCATCTTATCATTTCTATTTTCTCTTTTTAATCTTATTTTGTTTATGTTGATGTTTGTTGATTTCTTATGATATATAACTTTTATCACTAGTATTGAGGCTTCCCTACATGTCTACATGTAGGTGGCTCTTCATAGCTACCTGAGGACCCTACCCTCCCAATTTGTAAAGGATGCAAAATTACTATTTGGCTCAGCTCCCAATCCTTTGTACTGGGCTGTGGGGATGATTATGACCCCATACAATCACAGTGTTCTCATATAGGAAAGAAAAACTATTTGTAACATATGTGTATGACATCCTGGCTAAAATAATACAGTTAGACAAGACTGGGCACATTCAGGGTGGTATGTCTGTAGACAAACAGTACAGTTAGTAATGACAATAGTTTCAAGTACAGCTTAACTACTGACAAACTATGGTAACCATTAACCTGCTAACTCCATCCACAGGAGCAAACTCTAAGGTTATACAACAGAATCCAACATACAGTGTGCATTTTTATGCAATGACTTTCCCTTTATGGAGTGACTTTACTCTTCTGTGTGTGTGTGGGGGGCGGTTTAAGATGGAAAGGGAACAGGATAAAGTGATGAATGAAGTCAGATATATTAGAGCCAAGGCTGAAGGTCAAGGCATGATTACTGAGTTTTGGGAAATTGGAGGACAAAGGAAGGAAAGACTGAAATAGAAGGCAAAGGAGTAATGAGAAACGGCAGAGAATGATTACTCATGTGAACGTTTAAATTCAAAAAACAGTGGAGGAAAATTAGAGGATCACTAGAAGAAAATGAAAAAGGCAAGAAACATAAAACGTGAAAAAAGGAAAGAAGAGAAAGAGGATGAAAAAGGAAAAAAAGACAGAAAAAGAAGACCAGAGAAAGATAAAACAGAGGGGAAAAAAACCCAAATATAAATTTTATAACCACAGAAAACAAAACAAAGCAAGACGATATCCAACCAGGAAAGGGACAGCCAATCAGACAAACTAGGAAGAATGACAGTAGTAAAACACCTCTGGTGCTTGCAGCTCTGTGACAGTGCCCATCACGTGCGGCGGAGACGTGCTGGGTGTGGAGCCCATCTTGGCCTCTGGATGTGGCACTGGGATTGGTCTCTGTCAGTAGCGTTCTCCAGAGCCCGGCTGCTGACTCTCCCTGTGGCTGCAGAGGCTTCTACATCACTGTGTTCACTGACTGCCCCACCCTGCGAACGACTATGTGGGCCTGGCCCCAGGGCCTGGCTGTTGTCCTGGATCTTGTTCTGGTTCATCCTCCAGTGAAAGGTATGTGTCCTTACACTCTTCTCACAGGTCCCACCGACATGGAGCAATAGAAGAAGCAGAGTGTGAGCTCACAGACTCCTTGCCCCAGCAAGGAATTTTAAATCATTGACCAGCATGACCACGGTGTTGTCCAAACATAAAAGTTTAGACTTCAGGGTATGAGAAATACTGGACACACACACACACACACACACACACACACATTTGCATATTAAGAGAAACTGTGGTTGGATGGTAGAGTTGCTGAAAATATATAACACAAATGCAGGGATGGATGATGTATCACTATATAATATGTAAATGTCTATATGATGATTTATACACATATAGGAAAGTATAACACACATGCAGAAGTGTATGATAGGTCACTATACAATCTGTAACTCACTGTGTAGTGTGTAATGCACATGCAGAAAAGTATTATAGAATATGTAGATCACTATGTGGTATATAATACATGCAGGAATGTACAATAGATCACTATATAATACATAAACCCTGGTACAGTATGTAACATACATGTAGGAATGTACAATGAATCACCATATAAAAATGCTGTTCCTGATAATTTTACTGAAGTTACATTATCTTTATAGTGTTACTAAATTAGGTCCATGCTGTGCACTCAGTATGCAACACTTCTAGCTCCTCTCTGGTTTCTGCAGGCAGCTGTTTGGCGCAGATGGGAGCCTTGGTAAAGGTGGGGCAGGTGATTCTCCCGGACCCCTGAGCCCTGACTCAGCTCCCTTTCCAAGATTGGGGTGCTGCCTCTGTGATGTGAAGTTTGGGTGCAGGAGCAACAGCGCCCAAGTCTGCAAGAGAAACATAAAGCTTCAGCAGGACTTTTTGAATAAAAATGATGTATTTCTGAAGAGCAAGCTGAAGGTCACCAAAGCAGCGGGGGTATTTTGAATCTTAGGTCACACTTAGAGGAGACCCTGCTGATGAGCCTCCCTTGTGACTGACTTCAGGCCAGGAAACACTAGACCACAGTGATGCATCTGCTGGTGTCCAGTGGGGCTTTCTCACCCCAGTAAACTACTCCGTCCTTGCTAAATAGATCAGCAACTCTGCCTGCGGGGAATGGGATGGGATGGGTGTGTGTGTGTGGGGGGGTGCGCATGCGCACTGTTCTCCCACCAGTCATGAGCACAGCTGAAGTATCCCATCAGTTCCTTTCCTGACTTCCATTAATTTTCCACTCAGCAACAAATTTACATTCCTTACATATCAAAACTTGAGAGGATTTTTTCAGCCTACAAATGAATCTCAAGTGTCAAAAGGAAAAAGAAATTAATACATGCTAAAACTCACCATACAGAATATTCAGCATCCAGAGTTCTTGTCAAATCTGCATCACTGATGAGATTAATACCCCAACGGAAACACTTGAACAGCTCAGCCTTCATCTGTGGAAACAAAGCTCCCTTCACAGCACACAAACCTGCCAGTGAAGCGGCACCTAGCATGGTCTCAAACTTATGAGGGGGAAAAACACATCAGTAAAACTTTCTTCCCAGAACTGGTGCCAGACAGCCTTGTCTCATGGACACTCGGCTCTTTTATGAAATGAGAAGACTGGGAAATTAAGAGCGTGACCAGCCGGTTTGGCTGAAATCATTCAAAAAGAGACAGAAACAGCATGGGTATTAATTCAAGGCATAACAAATTCTCTACATTCCAGCCACATAACCTCAGATTCCTTTCTCTCTAACGTCACAATCTGGGTAAGAGGCTTTGCTCTTCAAGGACCCAGGTCCAAGGGCACCAGGAAGAGCTAAGAGCTCACAGAGCAGGCTCTGCCCTCCGTCTCCGTCTTCTTAGCCACCGGTTAGGCTGATTAAAGGTTCGAGACATACTCAGTCCAGAAAACCAGTGAGGGAGCCCTCTGAACAACAGTTGAGTTGATGCTGGATAGGAAAGACTAGATTTTAAAGATGCTCTGGAAGTGAGCTTTGGGGAACGGGCTAAATACAAGTGTGTTGTCCAATAAAGAGCAGCTTACGCATATTCTGATGACAGACCGATGTGAAATCAGGACTAGATGGTCAGATTAACAGCCAGCACCTTAGTATCTGCCTCCTCCATGTATCTTCTCTCGCCACATAAGCAAACATGACAGTCCAATTATTTTATTGGTGCCGAGCATCTCTGGTGGCTGCTGCCCGTGGCAAAATGAAGGGTGGGAAACCTGCCAGAGAGGCTAGCTGACTTTAAAAGCTAAGTACTGCCAGACTGAAAGAGTTTATATGAGACTGACTCCCCCGACCCTGTTCAAACTCATCAGGTAAATAAATGTGTTGACATCTGCTTAAGTAATAGCTCTCCTCCTTTATATTTTGTAGGGCAAAAAAAAAAAAAAAAAAAAAAAAAAGGTAAGTCAATTTTGCTACATACAGTAAATAAAATTTTATGTCACATAAACAGGAAACAATGGCTTTTTATCACCAGAGAATAAAACACAAAATATATTGTTAATCCATTATATATTCATGGACTCAAAATCACTCAAACTAGAGCATTAAAAATATTGCCTTTCAAAACAGGGGGATAAAACATGAGTAAGTTACATAAATTGCTGGGGACATAGCTCAGCGGCAGACTGGGAGATGGTAAATTCAGCCCCCGGTATTATAACAAACAGTGACATAAACCACAAAAGTGTGTCTCTGACCACAGATTGTTCAGGGCCCCCCCCCCCACTTTATAACAAGGAAGGAAAACAATGAACATACTCTTACTCCTGCAAGTCTGAGTGAGTCTGCGTTAGAAGCACAGCTAACATTACCTGCTTCACAGGAGGAATCGGACGATGCTGTACTGAGTGACAAAGAGCAAGGGGACAGAGGAGAGTGTGGTCAGGAGAGCTGAGTTCAGGACCCTGACCCCCAACCAGCCCCACAACAGCAATAACTCTAACAGCTGTAGTTGATAGAGGATTTACAAACAGCTGCTCTCAACAAATGCACTTCCTCACAACCTTAGTGGCAGAGATCGCTGTTATACCCATTTTAGCAACAAGAAAACGAAGTTCCTGTGAGCTGGGCTCTAGGTGCCTTGTGTTGGCGTGGCGAGATCCTTTGGGACACCTGCTCCACTTTAAGAGTTACAGAGTCACCCTCAGTTTAATAGCAGTGTAGGGTTAAGTGTCCTCCTGGGTCCCCTGCATGTCTAAAAGGCTATTCTATCCAAGGCAAATGTGGGTTTCCATGCATAATTAGCCCTCTAGACCCGAGGTTAGGAGGTCTTCCTGAAAGGCCAGGTGAGGAACACTGCAGGCTGGACAGTCCATGCCATCTCGGTCACCTCCACCCGACTCCACCCCTCCAGCACAAAAGTGGTCATGGGTGAAACATAAACATATAGGCACTGTGTCCCCATAAGATTTTATTTCTGAGAAAGGTTGATGGGCTGGTGAACCATATAGTTTGCTGACCCATGTCCCCACCATCAGCTGTAACACAGGCGAAGTCAGGCTGGGTTTCCAAAGAATAGATTTACCAACTGCCAGCACCACCGCGCTAGGAGAGATCTTAAGGCCTCAAATTTTCAGGTCATCTATTCCCATCTTCATCATTTAGAAGACATGACTGTCTGCCTTCTTCATGGTTTCCAGAGAGACTAACGAAACTCAAGCACCAAAATAATTATTCTGAAAGTTTTTATAAATATAAGATAAACACATATTCATACAGATACCATGTTTCAAAATGCTGACATCCGATCTCCAAGTCCATCCTAGGTTTCTGGGCTAAGTCACAAAACCTATCAGACCCATGTCATGGTCAAAATAATACACACAGTAAGGTACACAAGTGGACACACATTTCCACAAAAGGAGAAACTCTTCATGTACATAAGGTTCGATTTTGCTACAGAGAACTGAGCAGGTTATCATTTCAATTTGAAATGTACCCCACACAAACAAGCAGAAACCACATTCACCCCAAGAGCATAGGTCATTTCTTCCTAAGGGACTTGTGGGCCTTTAGTCCAAATGCTTCAACCTTTGCTGTAGCTGTATGTGACAGTTCAAAACGTTTTTGACAATTTATTTAGGGTATGTTCTGCTATTCTGTTTCTAGTGCTAAGCTAGAATTTATGAGTAGGAATTAACTTTGCCTCTGTTCTTAAGCAGTTTATATTTAAATTTCAAGATGTGACCTCCTAAAGAAAAAGGGTAATTAATGGCATACTCACTTATTAATCATGCTAGCATTCAATGACAGCAAGCACATTACAAAACAGTTCAAAATAAGACTTAGGAAACTGCATGGGCTGGGCACAGTCATCCACACCTGTAATCCAAGCACACAGGGCTAAGACATGAGGATCTGAAGCTTGAGTTTAGTCTAGGCAGCTTGGCAAGACCTCATTCTAAAATAAAAATTAAAGGGGTTGGGGGATGTAGTTCAGTGGTGATACCCTCGTATGGCATGTACAAGGCCCTGGGCCCAATCCCCAGTAGTACAAACGAAAAAGAAAAAGGAAAGGAAAGGAAAGATGTGTCTACGGCTAAACTTATCAATGGAGCACTAAGGAATGTGTTACAGTGTAAGAAGAAGGAGAGAATATTTAGGGTTGGAGTGACCCAGTGAAGTGTGACGTTCTTGGCTTAAATGTTCTATTATTACACATAACGTGGTGTGATACTACTTAAAAATAGACTGTGCTAATTAAAGATTTATAATGTAAACTTGAAGTCAACACTAAAAGAAGAAATATAAGTAATAAACTAACCAAGGTTGTCATATAGGAATCAGTGAAAAGAGTCTGTGAATACAGAAGGTAACAGAAGAAAAAATAAGACAATAAAAAGAGTTGGGAAAAGTAGGAAACAAGTAGAAGATAAGTGTAAATTTTAACTCAAATACATTAATAAAACACTAAATGTAAATGGTCTAAAATCCTAACTAGAAGACATGATGCCAGATTTAGGGGAAAAGACCCAATAGCATGCTGTGTATATAAACAGTACTGTACCTATAAAGATGTATAAGGTTAAATGTAGATTAATAGAAAAAAGATCATGAAAACTCTAGCAAAATAACAATAAGAAAAAAAAAACCCAGGGTGGTAACAGTAACAATAAAATATTTTGAACTCAGGGAGCAAAGAACATTACTAGAAACAATGACAGCCACTCCATAAGCATCCATTTTGATATAATGCAGCCAATTCATCAGAAAGACGCAGTTATAAAATACTTACATATATATGAGTGAGCTTCAAAGTGCATGAAGCAAACACTCATTGACCCTAAAGAAGACAAAGACAAATCTACAGCCTTATTTTCAACATTACTGTCACAGTAACTGACAAAACAAGCATTCTGAAACATCAGTAAAGAGACAAAAGTCAGTATCAATTGAGATGTATAGACAAAAAAAGCTCAGCAGAACATGCATTCAGTTTAAGTGTACATGAAACATTTACCAAGATATCAAAATCAGGGGAAAAAGCTATGGGTAAATGTTCTGACCACTGAAGATTCTTAAAATTTAATAATCAAATCTTCCATGGTAAAATATCTTAAGTATAATTAATCTCAAGGATGTAAAATTGGTTAAGCATTCAAAACTCAGTGTAAATACAGTAAGACAAAAAGGGGAGATCATGTGATCACTTCAATATAAAGCATCTGATGAAGTCATTTTCAAGTGAAAAACTATTTCTGACAAAAATTTTCAAACTCAAAATGGCATCTTCCTTGACCTGATTAGGGATCCACGAGAAGTCCACCCCTAAGTTAATCATGAGTGTTGAAATTCTTTCCTTATGATGAGTTTGTCCAATTAACTCTACAGTATTTATTTTTTATAAGGTTTGCTTTTAGTAAGATGAAATTCTCACACTGAGTTCATGCTTCCAAGCATACATCTTACTGTGCCTTTATGAATGGTCGCCACGTGTCCATCACTGTAATGGTCAGACAGAAATCCCCTCTGTGAGAGAGAGAGAGAGAGAGAGAGAGAGAGAGAGAGAGAAACAGGAAGAGGAAGAGGAAGAGGAAGAGGAAGAGGGAGGGAGGGAGGAAAGGAAATTCAGCTCTTACTGGTTTGGTTTTTCTCATTACAAGTGGGTAGAAACTTTAATCTGAATACAAGGTCATTTACTAGAAGCAGTATGTTTTATAAATAACTATTTTTGTGGCATTTCATTTCAGAGTGCATTTTAAAATCTACAAAGTTTTTCAGTACTTTCTTTTAGGGTTTGTAGTTTCTTTGGTATGAAATGCTTGCCCTAAACAAAGCCTGAAGCAGTCAGATATGTGTTGCACTTAAAGTAGCTATGCTAAAGCAAGTGTGTAACATTGCTTTTGATTTTCATGTACTTTTGTACTTTAAGATTTCCTGTCAGTATTTTCTTTCTTCACTAATCTACAGAAAATTTTAGCTTTTGGCTATTT